CATTCCACACCTGCAAATGCATGTTTAGTAATTAAAATATTTAACACTTTTAAGACAATTGACGATTATGCACTGTCACACTTCTTAGGTTGTGTAAGGAATAATTGCATTTAATTTATATTTAGACCTGTTTTACGAATGCTTTGGTTTTCACAATACACCTTTATTTGTCAATATCATACAGCTATTCACTGAAACATATATGTTTTTGTAAGTCAGAATATTCAATACTAAAAACAGAATTACTGTATACACAAATCAGGTCAAACGTTAAAATACATGTTTTATAGTAACCAAAACAAAATGCATTTTTCTCAATGTAATTCTTTTAGGCTCTATGGCAAGAAATATTTTATTGATCAATATGAAGCAACTGTTTCAAGAAGAATTGTCTGTAGCTTCATTTAAATGGTTTCAACTAACAGCTGTAGGAATGTTATTATTATTTATTGCCTTCTCTGCACAAATGTAAACAAAATAAATGTTGAATATTTAAGGTTTTCAGAATTTTTCACCGAAACAAATATTATACTTGGTACTTTCCTGTTAAAGGGAACATTCATTATTATCGATGATTTTTTCGATATATCGATATTTTTTATTACCGATCCATTACATATTGACAACTGATCTTGTTTAGGCCAAAACAGTCTTATTATATGGATTAAGAAATGAAATTGTTCTAAGCTAACCTAACATAACCAACCAAACTTGCTGTACTATTTAAAAATTGCTTTTGATAACAGAAAAGGCAAGTTAAAACATGGAATGTTACACAGCAAGTTTGGTTAGTTATGTTAGGTTATTTTTTTAGAACAGTTTTATTTCATTATTGTTTGTTGATACTGAACAATATTTATCGTAGTTGTCAGCTGATATGTTTCAATTTGTTAATATCGATATATCGAGAAAAAAATCATCGATAATAATGAATGTTCCCTTTAACAGGAAAGTACCTTATACTTAAACATAATATATAAGGTACCTAATAGAAACTCTCCTGGTTATTTTGGTGGTGGAACCACACTGATCGGTAAAAGAATCACAGAGAAATTGGTGAACATACATAGAAAAAAAAACATCGCCACAAACAAATTGAGAACCTCCTCCTTTTGTTGGTAGTGGGGAAGTCGGTTAAAAATGTTTAAGGTATTGCGCCCGAAGTCCGTGATGCTACTGACTGAGCCACCGACTCATCTCAATGTAATGTTTGTTTTTGGTGCTCTATAACACTATTATATAATATGGATCTAACAGTATAATATAAGGTAGTTAATTATACTATGTACGGTTTCAATATCGATCAATTAAAATTATGACCGATGTTCTGTGCATTCAATGGAAAATTAAATTGCTGAATCATTCTTGTCTGCCCACGCAGCACACGACGTCCCCAGGATATCCCATGAGAGTCCCACATATCCTATCCAAATCCTAAAATTAGTAGGATATCCTAGAGATATCCCGCAATAACCCGGGACATTGGATGTCCCACGGACATCCTGGATTTCCCAGGAGATTACGGGATATCTCAGGGCTATCCACGATATCCTACAGGATTTCGTGAGGACATCCAATGGATATCCTATGTTTTTATAAGATGTTTAGATACATTAATGATCTGATAACGTTGCCATTTTACAGTGTTTTTTTTAATGTAATTCAATCCAATTATTTCTTTAACACATGCATTTAATCGTTATTCATGGAAATTATGTTAAATTATTAATTAACACTTATATAATATATACTTATATATATTTGTTATATTTATTTATATTGTTTGTTATATTTATTTATACTATCTAATAAGGAACTTCCATGTGTGCCTGATAGCTTTCTAGAAATTCTTCTTTGTGGTATGTCAATAGTTTATTAATTAGCCACAGTGTTGTTGTTGTTGTTGTTGTTGCATCGTTTGTTATTACTACTATTTATTTGCTTGTTATGTTATGTATTTGTTAGCACTCAGTATCCATTATTTTTTTTTAGTATGTAAATAGTACCTAGCCATCTTTCTTGTATTGAAATGTATAATGGTTTTGCCGTTGGAATGAAATAAAATAAAATAAAATATCTTTTGGACTACATCATGATTGTTGTTATGAGCTTCTATAAGCTCTGAAATGAAAAAAATCCGTACGTGAGATATGAATATAAACGTTATTACATATTATTTATAAATATAATTGCTACAAAATTACGTAGCTTTAGTGGCAAAGAAGTCATATTAATATTATCTTTTAAATGAAATTAAAGTTTTCCCTTAAGGGAGAAAAAAGTCTTTAAATTATTTGACCCTCCTTTATTTCCTTGCTAATATTGTAACAAATATTCATAATTAAAAATGTGTAAATAATGTTAAGGTACAGGCACATTTTTTGTGTTAGGCTAATATTATGAATGGACCATTGTAAAAAATTATCCCTTGTTTTCAGTACTTCGTTAAATATATTATTCTTTTAAACCTATATTTAAGTGAGATAATAAGATATATTTATTTGTAAAACAGGCGATGCAGCGTTGAAACATGGGTGTCTTATGTTACACCAGAGTCAACATCTTGGTGGTCAGCACCTAGACAACGGTGATGAGGTCAAAACAACAGTGATACAATGGTTATCCAGTCAGGCGGCAGAATTCTTTGAGAAATGAAAGCAAAAGCTCGCGGGACGATATGATAAATACTGATGGAAACTATGTTAAAAAAAGTAGATTAAGATACTGGCTTTCAAATAACAATATGATTATTACAATATACTGGTTTTTGTTTTATTTTAAAACGTTACTTACTTTAAAAATATGCCTCGTAAACTGGCAAATGAGAATTCACTTAGTCTGTGGGATGGTGTGACAGGCATATTTTTTATTACATCATTGTATTTTATCTCAACTAAGGAGCGAGTAACAAAATAGCTAGTGCTTCTGAGGCCATGAGTGGCAACCGGCCTAGTAGTTTGTGTACTCGCCACTGACAAGTGTAGCGCTAGCAGTTTGCTTTCTCACCGCTTGTTAGTTATCCATTGTAGTTTAAATATTAATTGTTATTTTAAAGTATGTAAAATTTATAGAAACAAAACTGGCTTTACCTAGAAAGATAAAGATAAGCTATACATTTAAAATGACACATACCTTTTTTCAAAATAAACCGTGGTATTTAAGAAACCTTTATATCAGTGTTGACTCTTGCAGTGAATTTTGATAACTAAAAACGAGTAAAAACAAGACTACCTCACTTGGTGCTCACCTCTTAGAGCAATAAGCAAAGCAAAAACTTTGGAGGTGATGGTGTATGCTGCGATTTTAGCAGCACTGCAGAAAAGGAAAAAGAAGAAGAGAAGGGGGTTGTGGAATAAAGAGCGGCTTACAGAACAACACCAACCGATGTCAATTTATTGGAATAATTGAGATTGTATCCCAAAGATTGGAAAAATTATTTAAGAATGGATGAACCTACTTACCTGGAACCCCTGAGTTTGGTAACGCCCTACATATCAAAACAAGACACTGTATGAAAGATTGTTAAATCCTTATGAAAGGCCAAACTCTGCTTCAGAGATACAACACTTAACACTCCTTGAGTGATTTCCATGAGTACTAATGTCACGAGATGACAGGGGTACTGTTGTACCAGGCCACACTCTGCTTCGGAGATACAACACTTAACACTCCTTGAGTGATTTCCATACTATTGTCACGAGATGACAGGGGTACTGTTGTACCAGGCCACACTCTGCTTTATTAGTATTGTTTCTTCCTAAACTAGATTTTCAAATAACTTTAAGAATTAAAATAAATAAATAACAAAACCCCTTGCATTGATTTATAAGTAGGATCCACAAAAGTCCAGGAACGGCATTTTGTTATTTGAATCAATTAAGATATTGCAAAGAAGCTTTGCACCTAGTAGTATTGGTAGAAAGCTCCTGTTTATTAGGGACAGTCCACTAGGAGTTAGGAAATCTTAAACAAGAGCATAGGTCGAATAGTACATTGTCACACTCTCTAGTGGTATAATATAGTGACACAAATCCAACTTCAAAAGGTCATCCTAGCCAAAGTGGCGGTGGTTTGAAATCACAAACGTTAACTTGTTAAATTAAAGCTAAATAGTTGTCATACTTGTAATTTTCAACTTTTGGCTAAGATGAAGCTTTTGGTTATGTTTTGTGGCGCTGTATTTTCCCCAATAGAGAGATAACTTTGATTTGATGGAAACTCTACCTATGCTCTCGTTCAAGATTTCCTTCTCCTCGGCTCCTTTTGAATCATCCCTAAGACCAAGAGCAAAATTATATCTGCTTAAAAACAGAATTTAGGTATCCTACTTAAGAGAATTGTCAACTTTAGATCATCGGGTAACAGTGACATTGACAGCTTCGTTGAATGAGCTAAACTAGAGACTGACGTTTCGAATGCGTTTAACAGCCATCCATCTTTCACCTATTGTTCAACTGAAGTTCAGGTTGAATAGTAGTTTATGGCGAAGATGGATAGCTATCACGCATCGGAAACTTCAGCCTCTAGTTTAGCTCGTTTAACGACGCTGTCAATGTCACTGTTACCCGATGACCTAGAGTTGACAATCTACTGTGACCGTGGAAGCATATCATCTACTTATGTGTAAAGCATAGGTTTTAAAGTTCATTATTGTGAAGGGTAACTATTTTAACACATGGTAAGTCTTTAGACTGTACTATATTTTGGGAGGTTTGGGAACTCCTCCTGTTTTCAAGTAATCTTAGGGTCTAATCTACATTTACCTAGTTACCATATCCATCCTAACCTCCCTTATCCCCCCAAACATAGATCACACTTTATATAATACGTAACCTTATTATAATCGACAACAATATACAAAAACACAATGAAACTAAAAACAAATACAACTCATTGCATTATCTGCCATGATTTAAAAAGCCCCCTTACCGGATGTTATGTGGATCAACGTTCACAAATGAACAATAAAGTACTTTTGAGGTTCAGGAAAAACAATGGTATTCATAACAAATTGAACTTTAATTTGCAAATACAAGTTATCTTCTCTTGTAAAATACAAAATTACTTTAGAATAATTGCATTATTTTTGTTCTTAACAGCTTTGCAGACTCTTAAATTCTATTCCATACAAACAGCTGTCCTTAAAACTAGAAATGGCAAGTATGGGTTGAAAGAACCAACTCTAAACTCAATAACAAGAACCAGGTCCAAACAAATATGAGAAATAAAGTTAATTAACAATTAGCTGCGAGAAAAGTCTTGGAAAGTACAAAATAGATTTAAAAGGCATGCACTTTTTTGTTCCCAACAGCTTTGCAAACTCTTAAATTCTACTCCATCCAAATAAATACCCTTGAAACTACAAATGTCAAGGACAGGTTAAGACCAGATGCAATAACAAGAACCAGCTCAAAACTTTGAAACTATCAAATATCAGTTATAAAATCAACTAACAATTAGTTGAGTTAAAATTAACCAACAAATTAATTAAAAGTGAAAAAATAACATACAAAGTTCATCTCTAACAATTCACTAGGTAGGAACGACTAGATACCACTCGACCTTGTCAGATTATCAGTTCCCACAAACAATCACAACTTTCACAACACTGGAATCAACTTGAATGGACTTCTCCGAAGTTGCTGTGTCCAGTTTCTTTGGCGTGACCTGTACAAACAAGATGTATAGATAAGTAGTTAATACTCGATAGACACTTTCATATAACTGGAGATTACAACTTTGCTTTAGAAACCATGTTCTTGTCTGGTCGGTTTGAGCGTTGGAACAGGCCTAACAAGTACAATGTTCGTTTTAGGTTGTGGACTATTCCAATTTGGCGCCAGAGGGATGGACGAGATTGGATTTTTAGTTTGAGACGAGAGGGGATTTTTCATAAAATTTCTAGATGGGATTTCCCTTCTCATACATAACGGGAAGAAATGTACGTTTGTCATTTTAACCTGATTTTGTAACATTTTTTTACACCTAGACTGATTTATGACAGATGACAGGTTAACATAAAAAATAATAATATGCAAGAATATTTCAAATTTTTTATCAAGAATTACAAAAAAAACATCATTATAAAAAACAAATATTAATTAGGCCTACCTTATTAAAAATAACTCTTCTGCATAGGGACATGGTGATATCAGTTAAGGATATAGTTCAACTTTGAAAAATACAAAATTTATCAGTCTAAAACATCAGTATTACTAGTTAGTATCAAGAAACAATTTTCCAGTGTATAGTCAATGGTCTTATGTTTTATTTAGAATGATTATGGAGTGACTTGGTTTGGCTATGTTTACATTAGTAAAACAAGTCTCACACTGCTTACACTTAATAAAACTTCTCATCATTTGTGATGCCAAAACAAAAACATTTAAACCAATTAAAGCAATATTTACATGTAAAGAATTAATTAAATAAGAACGCCTTCGCAAAGGAAACGCAACAACAACGCGCTCCTGTATTGCCGGTATTGACTTAACTTTCTGCTTTAATCTCGTCCCGAAAAAATCTCAATCAAAATAAAATCTCATCTGGTAGAACAAGATTTAAAATTTCCCGAAAATGTCTCGGAATTTCAAAACCAGTCCATCCCTACAGATTATGAAACGGACTACTTGGCGGAGGAAATCTAGTACATCCCACAACATTATGAAGTGAAAAAGCCTTAAAATCTAGAATAGTATTGTAGTGAGTCAACAATTGCTTGTGCTTGAGTCAATGTTGTGTGTGTGGGGGAGGGGGGGGGGGCGAAAGTTGTATGAATGGTTTCCTGTATCTTTTGACAATATTATTAGATGCTTTCTTAACTTTATTTTTTCTTTGGTTATTTTTAAGGTTTAAGTTATCTGCTCTCTAATTAGACCTTTTTTCTTTTTTCCTTTCTCTGTACATTTAGCAAGTAGATTATTACCGGTTGTTATTAAGTTCTAAGATAATGCCATGTGGACATAAGGACTCATGAAACTTGTTCCTAACGCACAGGCTTGGTTAGGACTATGAATTTTTTTGGAAATGGTATTATTTTTTTATTTTTTTTACAATGATTTTGATTGATTAACCAAAAAGATAGGTCATAAAAAATGGTTCCCTTTATTTAAGTTAATCGGGGGTTTACTTTAGGTTCGCCCATTAACCAAACTAGGCCAAAAGCACATAAAGTGCTCTCCCATAAAACAATTTAAAATACCAACCATTGAGCTATAACCACTTTATCAATTATTAATTATCAATTATCAATCATTAAGATTTAAAAAGTAATCAAGCTATTGCATGTCGTAACACTTAAGCCCAGTGGCGGATCTAGAACAGTCACAAGGGGGGGGGGGGGGCGAACCAGGAGGTCTGGGGGGTTCATGGGTATCCCCCTGAAAGATTTGCGTAAACTAAGTCTCCAAAGTGACAGTTTTATACCATTTCTTTGTCCAAAGTTAGTGTGACAAATTATTTTACGCAATTTTTATACAGTACTGTATTATATGCAGTAAAAAATATATGTATATGTATGCTCGAGGGGGGGGGGCGGTCGCCCCCTTCTGGATCCGCCACTGCTTAAGCCATTACATAAATAATAGAAAGAGTATTTTTAGAAAGACATAACTTACCAAGAGCTTCCTTCTGGCCAATCAGGAATACTTTACAATCCAGGCATTGCAGAGTGAATCGGTTCACATCTGTAAACTGATGACTTTTCTTTGCCTCCATCGCCAAGACCTCAGCTTCCCGCAGAACTTTGTCATCCGCTGTCGGGAACATGGTCTGTATTTTGTTGTCACCCTGAGTCCATAAAAAACAAGTCTGAGATCAGTTTTAGTACATAGAAAAAATATACCGGAAAGTTTTTAAGGTTCTCAGTAGGGCCCTCCAATTTGTGTATAGTTCAAGATGTTGCCCGTTAATGCCAATGGTATTTCAAAAACTGGTCTTGTTTTGTTAATATACTATCTAATGTCAACTTGAAGTAAAAGAGTGCTCAACATCATTGAGGATCGAACCAGCAATCATAGGATTTGAAGGCCAACAAGTCAGTTCATTTTGTTCACTTAGCATAGGACTGTAGAAACACTGATATGATTTTCCAACTTCAACTCATTTATATATTGACTAACTCTATCAAATACCTCGTCAAAATTCAAAAATTACTTTACTTAATTTATTTACTGCAGCAATATTTCAGTTTACAGTACAGTCCCGATTGACCGAGGTTGTTGGGACCGACAGTACCTCAGTTACAGTGAATCTCGGATAACACAGAGAGGTGTCTTAGATTTTGAGGTTAGGGGTTAGGGTACCACATTAGGAAATCAAAGACTTAAAGCCAACACTCTATAGGATTAAATAATATCACAATACAGTAAGGTGAACCCCTACAGTTTTTAAAGCATAAAATTAATTTGTGTTTGAGTTTGGCTTGAACTATACTTGACACAATCGTGTCAATATTAAAAAATTGTAATGACAAACACTGACAAAATGCAATACGAGCCGGCAAGGCTGCAATGCCCAAGCAGAAATAATGCTACTGCTTTTGTTGACATTCTGCAGGCGACTCAGTTTACCAATGGTTAGCGGCCAAACGTACAATTTTAATTTTTTAAGTTATCGTAGAAATGTAGATCATTTGTATGGTAAAATAATACCTATAATTATTATTTAAATTTAAATAATCTTAAAATAAATTACAAATTACTTGCTATTTTTACTTTACTTTCAAGAGAAACATTCATAACAACGTAATTATTGTTTTCCAACTAGAAATAAAAAATTATAATCACACTCTAATATTTAGGCCTGAAACAACTTTTTTATTTATAAAGATATTTTATTGGAATACATTTCCAATTGTCCCTATTTATAGGCTATCAAACTATGTAAGTTATAGGACAACAATTCAGGGTTCATACCTAATAAAAATAAAACATTTTTGAGTGTACAAAGTAGCCCCCAGGGTCGGTACTTTGTAACAGTCATTAAATTTCCAAACAGCTCTATGATGGTTAGGCTAGGGGCTACTTTAAAACATGCATTTGATAACATGAAAAGGTATGTAAAGTTTTTATTTTTTATTTAATCTGTGCAATGTGTTAATTGTTTTTTCTTAAAGAATAGGAGTTTAACTTTATTTTAAGATATAAAAGCATGGGACATATGATTTTTTAACAGTTTTTTTAAAGTTTGTACACAGTAGCCCTCACGTAAAATGTAGCCCCGTTTGACGGTACACTAACACAACACACAATATTTGTTCCATTTTTCAAACAAGATGGTTTGTAGGCGAGGTCATTAATCCAGTTAGATAAGTATGTTTGGGCATCACTCCCTGGTTGAAATAAGGAAAACGTAGAATTTGTCACCACACACAAACAGCCACATTAAAATAAAAATAACAGACTTCAGTTCTCTATTTCGGACGTTTCGCCGCACCTATATCAACATGAGGCATTTTCAAGGTTACCCTGTGATCACCTAACCACGACTGACAACCCCACTGTGGAAAAGGGTGGGGATGCTTTGTTATCCTAAACAGCTGATACTGTACCAACTTTCTTTACATTTTTCCATGCATCCTTAAATATTTATCTCTATTAACGGGTTGTAATATCAATGGATGGCATGACAAATATGATAAGAAGACATATAATGTGATTCTGTACCGTGGTTATGTGGGTCAAACATCTAGACGGGCTCTTATATGTGTTCATTACACATGAAAAATGTTTACAAACGGGTAACCTTGGGTTCTAACATATCTAAACACGTTGGTTTATGATACCGGGCATTGTATAAAGTGGGAAGAAAATTGTATTTCATACAAGGAACCTAACTGAGAAAAGGGGCCCGTCAGTCAATGTTAGGCGCTCACAGCGTTTATACGCCACGGGTTAATATAGGTCCAGTGCTACCTACTTGTATTTTAGTATTTTTCTAAGTGTGTGTTTGTGTATCAAATGAAGGTTAGTAATGCCCAAAAATATTTATTTAACACAATATTCATTAAAGTAAGTTGGAGAAAAGAGAAAAGCATTATTCCAACAATGAATATGTATTACACTATGCCATCACTTCAAGGGAATTTTCAATCCTACTGACTCAACACCATCAATAATGGACAATGTTTAGAGACAAACAATATGTTTTATGGCCATAGCCACTTCTTATGACGTGTACCTAAAAATTTCGATGAACATCTTATCCAAGATACTAGGATATTTGTTATTTACAAACTAACAATTTTTGTAAATAATTAAGGAAGGGTCCAATTTAACTACAATCGGAGAAAAATATCAATTACAGTATCTATATCTAAAGAGTTTGTGGGTTGAAAAAAAATAAGTGTAGACTACCTCCGTAGTTAAATACATTGCATGGTGTATGAGACAATCTTTCCTATTTCATTGGTTTAAAAAAGGTCATCTGTACTTGAATACGTGAATCCTATATCAGTGACCGACAAAGTCGGAATGGATTGTGTTAGTAACTAGATTAAACTAAACTAAGAAACAAACTAAAATAATGGTGGGCTGCTAAAAGTGGTGTGTCGCCACGCTCATTTTACAAGTTTAATCACAATTTACAGTTGTTGTATGTAATGTACAAAATATGATCATTCCTTACCTCAAACGGTTCAAGATAGAGAGGGTCGTAATGGATGCCGTCAAATATTAGAAACACTCGGTGGTCGTACAGTTGGTCTTCCCCAAATCGGTTGATTATTGCGTTGACTGTGTCAACAACAGCGATCTCGATACCGTAGAACTTGGACAGGATTGCCAATTCTATTGCACCTGTTAAACGAAAACACATTTTATCCTATACAGGGTAGAAAAGCTAAAGAGTGACAATTTAAAAGGACAGTTAACTTCTTATGGGTCACTCCCCTTTATATTTTAAGATGTTTTTGGGATGGTTTTGAATTTTCAAAAATATTTCATTTTCTAATATGATTGACAACTTTAATATTTTTTATGGAACACTATTACACAGTACAGTATTTTTTGATTATTTTTAGAAAGTAAATGCAATTTAAAAACGTTTTTATTCTTCACATTTTTGCCTAAAGGTACTTGTTTAGGAGTCCCATCGTGATACATCTAAGAAAAAATTACTTGCAGTGTACATTCTGCATCACGTAGCTCCTCAACGATTAAGTTTAGAGAGGAAATGCAAGGAGTAAATAAGTTTTGAAATTGTATGTACTTTCTAAAAAGATCATAAAAAACATAAAAAAATATTGATGTCATTGATTAAAAAATTTCCGCCATTTTTCAAAATGGAAGCAAACTTGAAAATTGGAAAACTGTGTATTTTAATTTTATAGTCTTTTTAGAATGTAGTATTTAAGCATATAGGCTAAGTATACTAACTACTGATTTAGACATATAATCATACTCATACCAATACTCAAACTTATTTAAATATTTGAAATATGACAAACTAGGCCTAAAACACTCATTTAAATCAGTTGTAACCCTCACTAAAATCAAATAAAAGCTCTGAGAAACTCGATATCCAGTATTGTTTTTACCAGTCCTCGGTTTAGCTGGGTACTTCTAAGAAGCCAATATCAAAATTAAATATTAAAAACAGCGTCTAACTTCCATTGCCTAAATCGTTGGGGTTTTAGTAGGAAGAGTCCTACAGACCTAGACCCTTACAGTGCATAATGCATTTCCCTATGAAAAAAATATATCAAAATGTTATTCTTACAGCTCACAGATACGTAGCTGCAAGCACAAGTCTTGGTGTTTAAAGCCTTCTCACAATTAATCTGTTTGTTCACATTTTACTACTCAGTTAGAGCTAGTAGTTAGCTCTGAATATTTTCAGTGTAGTTAGTAATGGTACTTGGTAGTTACTTGTGGTTGGTAATTGTTCCACTAAAGTAGATGTTTCATTTGGATAAAAAAGTTCAGCAGAAAATGACCAATGGTTTTCAAACAGAATGGCCTTCGAGGTAATTAATAAAGCTAATCTAATGAGAATAATTTTACCTCCATCATTATCTAATATTTGTTTATATTATCTTAAACAATAATATTTATTTTCATTGCTTAACTACTTAAACCTATAGGCATTCCTCAATGAGACTAAACACTGGCTTACTTTTGATTATATACATTCATTAATTACCGTACGTAAGATTATTTTGTTTAAATATTTTTTTGTTTTTATAACAGGTTGGTTTATCCGCCCAATCGTTACCCTGGTGAGGGCTCAGTCCCGTGGTGACCGGATATGAGGAGTTCAAATGTGTTCCCAATCTTGCTAAGTGTTAGTATTTACGACTTTTTAACATAGAGAGCTTTGGTGGAATGAATCGAGAAAAACAAGGGTTGAGCTGGAATAAACAGTTTGTCTACAAATTTTAGCAGCAGCATTGAAATCTAAACTTGCAATATTACTGTCATGGTTATGATAACAACTTGCTGATTAAACTTAATAAACACATAGCCTTGCAGTGTCTAGACACTGTACTGTAGCTGTGTACGCTACAAGGTAGGCTTGAATTAAACATAATGGAAGTAACTTAGGCCTATATAATATCCTAAGCTACTTGGCTCTAAAGTGCAAACTTGCCAAGTCTTACTTTGTTTTCTGTTTCGAGGTAAGTTAACAAGACAAATTTACCCTAGGTTTTAACTAGGCCTACCTACATTTGTATTTTTTTTTTTTTTTGTTCTGAGTTAGTTTAATAGGATACTAGCAATACAAGTTGTAATAATCATAAATAAGGCAGGAAATTTGTTTAGTTTCAGGACTCTTTTTAACCTAAACATATGATTTGTAATTATTTGGTTTACTTTGAGTTTTTTCCCCTTTAGAGGACGTTTACGGGAAATGCTTATTTTATCCTAAAATTCACAGTTGAAAATTACAGAAAGGTCTGATATCGCTAAAGTTTTTCTACAACTTTTTGGGGAGCTAACTTATTTTGCATAGTTTAGGCTATTTCAAGCACTTTTTTCCCCTCTTTGGAACATTAAAGAATGCTGAAATACACCCGAAACATCCAGTTTGTAAATCTTCTACAGCCACATAGTGCCAACCTGAATGACAGATTTAAGAGTGGGTCTTTAAAAAAGATTTAAAAAACAATTTTGAATTTATTTATATTTGGAACGAGTTTGCAAACCAGCATAATCAGACTACGGGAATATGATTATATGGGTAAAAATGTGTTTCCTCAATTTTAACTCTCAAAACGAGTAGTAATTTGCAATTTCCTAGACTTAAAAAAAAACTAATAATTTAGTATCTTGATGGGTTGTTATGCGCTTAATGGATCGGATATAACTAGACTAAAAAAACGAAAACGAAAACTAAAGTAGGCCTATTATATTGAATTATAGCAGCCTGAACACTATGCATCATTTAAATAGGCTACTAAAGAATTGGTGTAAATACCTGCATTTATGTGTGATCAAATGTGTTGCTAAATTGCAACCGGTTTTCACTCATATAGAAGCTTTGGTTTTTAACCTTAAATGTTCATTTTTATGTTCGTGTACGAGTTCAATGTAGGCCTATTTATTTATTATGAATTGACAACCTTCTAATGAAACGAGAAGACATCTGTACTGGCCCGACGATGACTCCTATGTGAGTTGAAAACGGTTGTAATTTAGCAACACATTTGATTGCATAAATGCAGATATTTAGACCAATTCCTTAGTAAAACTAAAGATTCCCATGTTATTCTTATGGAGATTCGGTTGAACTGTTGTAGTATGCTTGTTTTGGATTGTTTTTACCAAACACATACATAGGCCTACACACATACATCTCATACATCAGAACAACTAGGTTATAAAAACTCACCTCCCCATGACTCTGAACGCTTGATCCACGAGCAGTAGTCATTGCTCGGACGCCCTAATATAGCTTCGTTGTATGTATCTGTGTCAGTAGATACAGCCTCAGCAATGATCTCTCGCATGTGACTACCGCAGTTAGTGTCAATTTTCCCTGGAAGGAGACCATTAGGCCTATCAGTTAGCGAAAACATGAAATAATAAAATTAATGCCATCGAGGTCACAGGCTAAAAGTAAAGAATTCAATCTGGGATTCAGTCTCTAGAACCTATACAACCTAGGCCTAAAAAATCTTTAAGTAGGCTAACACACAATGTAAAGAAGTATGTAAAGATAATGTATTAGCCAGAACAATCGGCTTTTGTCAATAACCTAGGATTTGATTTTGTATAAAAATGTAAGTTTAAACTGCAGACTGCCTTGAAGAAAATATAGGCTATAAAACTGCAAAATTCCATATAGTCTACTAACTTAGTACCCAAATATCACCGTTTTCAAGTGTGTTTAGCGAATTTTCTATTAAGGGAATAAGCTATTACCGAAGTTCTCATCTATTAAATTGAATAATTTATCTAACTTATTTATTCATAAAGCGGTTATAACCAATAAAGTGAAAATAACTTAATTTGTAATATGGCACATGTAAGCTACATTAGCCTAGCCCTAGAAGATACGAGGCACACATTTGCAGTGAATTAAGATGGTTTTAAGTTAACACGTTCACTGCGGCCCACCAATGAGCGTTGAGCGAACCCACTTAGCTTTCAAATATGGTATTTTAATTTGACGAATAGTAGGCTAACCTAAATGACGTGTGGTGATGTGCTGTATTACAATGATAGTAATCGTAGTATTCTAAATCACTCACAGATAGCAGCACTAAACTTAGTTGTCTAGAACTAACCGGTCCCATTGTAATTGCCAATTGGAGGGAGAAAGGCGGAACAAGTTGATTTCTAGGTTTGCCAGAGGAAGATTTTGCGGGAAAATTTACTAGCCTACTAACCTACACCACAATAAAGCACCTAATTAATCCTTGCTAAACGAGAAATAAAAATAGGCCTATCTGTTCTTCCCGGTGTGCTGTTGCGCAGAAATTGAATGGAATGTAGGCAATGCTGGTACTCATCGGTGAGTGGCTTGCAGCGAACGTGTTAATAGGCCTAGGCCTAAGTTAATACCTAGGGGCTTGGGCCTATCTTATTTTCTATCTGCAACAATTTAGTTAAGTTTAGGCCTACAGTAGTTTGTGTTTCCCTGGGCCATTGAAGTTTTTTAACGTTTTTAGAAAGGAAACGGCCTTGCTAGATAAGTTGGTATATAAGCGACAAATGGCATCTGGGGCCAGAATAACTTACTTGCTTGGAATCGAACCAGCGACCTTAGGATTTTAGTGAACAATAAGTTATAACACTCTCAGCAAACCAGGCAATTGTTTGACATTATTACGACTCAACGTACTTACCTGATAGCACAAATCCTATACTAGTGAAAAGGCAAGAGTTGTCCGCAGGCACAACTTTCTTGAGCAGAATTCCGGGACTATTCATCTGGCTTTCAGAAATATGACGCCTAGCTTCACTGTCATCCCAAGTTTTTTTCTCTTCTTTCTCCATTGGACGTGAAGTCGGTTTTTCTTCTACAATAAGAATATCACCAGAGTTTATGCCGATACTTTCAACAGTTTTTGCTTCATCACTCAAATCCACTTGTTTGGGTGGAAAGCCAGAAAGCACATGAAGGCTTTTGGTGGGGATGTTTGCAACTCTTGAAAGTTCTTCTTTCAAAAATGTTATGCTCGATGAAGAGCTAATACTTTTTAAAACTTCTTGGCCTTGTTTAGTTTTAACTTTCAAAAGTAGACTAGCCATATTGAAGCAAGTCTATCCAAACTTTAGGTAGGCCTAGCTCAAAAGTAGTACAGTAATGTCTAAATAATTTAACAGTCACTATCACAAGTTAAAAGAGAGTAAAAGAAATACTACACATACAATAATCAAAAACTTAACCTAGGATTTAACTAAACAAACTAAACAGAATTTGTAATTTGTTGTTGTTGGTTCAGTTTAGTTTAGTCTATAACTGAAAAAAAGCAAAAAAAAAGATAAACCAAATAAACCAATACAGTACCAAGCACAAACCCACGCTACGCTGGCTACGCTACACCACGCGCAACGCTGCTAGTCACTCACTCAGACTCAGTCAGAGTCAGACTCGTTCACTCATTCTACTACCACAACTACAACTACTAGGAATGGGCACACGGGAGGGACTAAGGCTAAAGGTGTAGTGACGTCATATCCCTAGTGGGTAATTTATACTCTTGAGGCAACAGGATTACCGTAACGAAACGAAGTGTTTTCAGCGGCGTTCGTGGCATAGTTTGTAGCGGTTTGATTTGGTATTCAGGAGGTCCCGGGTTCGAATCCCGCTGGTAGCACTAACTTTTTGTCAACAAATTTTTCATATCAGCAAGTTTGGTTGGTTAAGTTAGGTTATGACAGTTTAATTTTATAATATTAAATTTTAAAATTAATTTTATAATTTATTAAAAATTATAAGTAATCATTAATACGATTTTTGTCTTATACAGTTTTTATATTATCAGCAAGTCTGGTTGGTTAGGTTATGTTGTGACAGTTTTATTTTAAAAATTAAAAATTTAGTTTATAATTTTAAAACAATATTTTATAGTTAAAAAGTTAATTTCATAACTAAAAATAAAAAAAATTAAATTTTTTCAACTTAGCGGTTCTAGCGGCGAACGCTGACACTACAAGATATGTTAGCCTTAGTCCCTCCCGTGTGCCCCACCGACAACTACTACCTTTATACTTTTACTTCTCTACTAAACGACTAAACCTTTGAGTACATATATCGATATATATCGATATATATGTTACACTCAATCTCCGAATTCGGACAATGTCCGAAATTTCTACCCACTCCGCGATGTGGATAGTGTGAAATACCCACGTCGCGGAGTTGAGCATTTTATTCGGATATTGGACGAAGTGAAATGCCCAGACCGCGTTGTGGGTAAATTGATTTACTCAAATGCCGAAGTCATAACGTTCTTCGGCGATTGAGCAAATCTAAAATACCCACAACGCGATGTGAGCAAGAGGGGTTGCCCACGTCGGGTTGTGGGTATTTCTAGTTTGTGCAAACGCCGAATTTACGTTTAGACATGTTACCAATACCATTTGCGCTGTATCTGCGATTAGGATGGACGGGCCTGCACCTGCATTGTGTTTTCTTTAACTGTTGCTGTCCTGTAGGGATATGCACATGATCAAGTTAATATATGTTCAGTGATTACCTTTTGTAAGATATTGTTTTGGTCTGTCGAACGAGCAAATCAAGACGTCAGAGGCCAATGTGGACGGGCAAATCAGAGGTTAAAAGGGTCGCCAACCTCTTTAAAAAAAACAAGGTTTTATAAGATGTGGTTGCAAGAAGAACTGAGTAAATCATGTAAATGTGTCAAACGTAAAATGCAATTCTAAATGCCATGGCAGCACCTCTTGTGCCAATAGGTAAAAGAAAGATGTAACAAGAACTGTGTGATAATCGGCGTTTTTAAGGCTACTCCTATTTTTGTAAAGCGGAAAAACATAATTTCAATGTATGTGTAATGTACCTTTTTATATTTGTTCCAATTCGGTAATTTGCTGTTTTTTTGTATTTTCTTAAATGCTATTTATACATTAAATAATTAGAATCACAAACATAAATTTTATTTATTTTACCTAGTGATTGTGGATTTCATGTAGATTTATGGGTATACGGTAGTTTATAAACTACTAGTCGGCGTTTGCGCAAACTAGAAACACCCACTACCTGACGTGGGCAATCACTTTTGCTCACATCGCGTTGTGGGTATTTTGAACTTGCTCAATCGCCGAAGAAGGTTTCGACTTCGGTGTTTGAGTAAATCAGTTTACCCACAACGAGGTCTGGGTATTTCGTTTCGGCCAATGTCCGAAATTAAATGCTCACATCGCGACGTGGGTATTTTACACTATGCACATCGCGGAGTGGGTAGAAATTTCGGACATTGTCCGAATTCGGAGATTGAGTGTAACATATATACTCAATGACTAAACTAACAAATAACGCTCAAAAACTTGTTTCTTTAATCTAATACTCTATCAAAATCACAGACTATAGCTTGATAGAATACTTAATCATTGATATAGATTATAATAACTGGAGTCACTACTCTCTGGGGCCCATTTCATAATAAGCTACCTACAAGTTACAACTTGTAACTTGTAATTTCCATTTAGGTTTGCATTGGGTGATCAGCTGATTTTTTAATAATATTAGTTTGTACTTTATTATGAAATTGGCCCTGGTTGAACATTAGAAAAAAACATGCCACTGATTTTGCTTGTTTTTTATCGTTGTTTCGTGTTGTTATGTTGGCCATATGATCGGCTGGTGGGGTGCTGTCAAATTCGATTCATTCTGACTTAACCACGCTATATGCTTGGGGTTATCCGTCATTTGACGGACTTCAACTTATTTAAGTTTTTTAAAGTTAAAACCTGTGTATCTATTTAAAGTTATTTTTAAACATTATTCATTGTTTTTTATACTAAATTCCAACTTATTTTCCTATTTTCAAGCTATGATTAATGATGAAAATAGTCAAGTTTCCTGGTTTGGAGATATTGGTATAGGCTTGGGTTTAGACCATTGGGATGAATGTTTTAGCCCTATGGCATTTGATTGAAGAACTAGGTAATGCCATAATGTTAGTTTTTTTTGCTAAATAAATAAACAATAATAGTAACGTAAATAAATAAACTTATTATGGAATCTTAATATTGTTGACATCTTTTTAATTGCCATCATAGATAAAACATACACTGGTTAGTCTATGTTGCCATCAACAAAAAAACAGGATGACGCCATCTTGCCTCTAGTAATTTGACAAGTCCCACCAACCTATCACCCGGCCAACCTAACAACACAAAACTCAAAATAAAAACCAGCAAAAACAGTGGCAAAAAGGTTTTTTAAACACAGAGTGTTGACTCACACACAACACAAAAGAAAGTTAAATTTACAAAAAACTGTTTTTGGAAAATGGTGTTTTTTATAAAAAAAAAACTTTTGTAACATAATTGTTTCCACTCTTCAAGAGTAATGTTATTAATAATTTAGGCAAATATTGAATTCCTTGTTTGGATAACAATTAATAAAGCACTTACTGTACACAATTATTTTCTATTTGTAGAGTGTTGATTGAACATTACTATTGCTATATATTTTCAACACCTTTATAATGTACTTAAGATTGTAAATATTGTTTTTGCAAATGTTTAGTTACCACTTCAAATTGTATAATGTCATAAATAAATACATTGAATTGAAAGCATTTGGAATTTGCTTACTATGTAGATTTTCTGCAAGGAGGGTATTTAAGATTGTCATTAGTTCTTCCCCGTAGTTTCTAGATTGCAAACCAGTGTGAGCTCTGTGTGATTTGTGCTTTGTACAGTTATTGGTAAAATTAATAAAACTTCTATCACTAAATTCCTAGATGTATAGGTAGAAATATACAGGAGAACACAATTTTTCTTTATAAAAATAAAATTGACATTACATTACAGAGTAAACTATATAAAATGCACCTCCCAAAACAGTAAAAACTCCCACAGCTGGGCCACAAAACTTGAGCAACTTTTTCCAAATTGTCCCGCCTTTTTTAGTTGATAGCTTGAAACTCTTGACTGTTGTCGTACCAATTGTTTTGTTAGTAGTGTTCAATGGTCGGATGGTAGTGGTGTTTCCTATTGCGCTAATGTTAGCGGTTGTATTCTGTGTGTTTATTTCTGTTGTTGGTAAGACTGTAGTATCAGAAGTATTTTTGACTTGTGGTAAAATATTGGATTCTGCTCCTTCTATGTCCACAATTGGTGAAGATCCTTGGCGATTCTTTATTTTACCGCTGTTTATTACTTCTTGTACAGCCTCATTTCCTTCTTTGCAAGGAGGATCATTAGCCTGTCTTCCTTGAGTATGTCTCGAATGATTGGTCAATCTTGAAGAATCTCTAGTAAGCATTTTTCCATTAGGTTCCGAAGAAACACTTCTTGGGCTTGCAAGTTGAAAATGATATTTTTTTGTCTCTTCGGCAATCATATTTTTAACTTTGTTTTTCCACTCCGCTTCTTTATTTATAAGATCATTTGCCAGATTGCTATTTCCATCTGAAACCATTTTTTTCTTTACTTCTTCAGTAACTATGGATTGAATTGTGTTTTTTAGTTGATCCTTTATATTTTTAAATTCTTCCATACGATTTTGTATCAAAGTATTAGTTTTTGTATCGATTTGATCTTTTATATTCTTTTTAAATTCTTCAGATACTATTTTTTCAATTAGTTTTTCCATTTTAGCCTCTTCAGTTTTGGAATCATTTGCCAGACTTTCATCTGGTTTTAAACTTGTTGGTTTATTTGGTTTTTGACTTTTTGCACTTTCTTCATCACCACTTCTGTTCAAATTGGATAGCTGACCCTGTGTTGGCGCAAAGGTCGGTTTGGTTGTAGTATGATTACTAGTTTCTTTTTCTTCCTTGTTTATGGGCATTGTCGTTGAATTCTCCTGGTTTGGCTTTTCTGCTCTTGAACCTATATCAGCATCTCTCTTTTCTTTTGTATTGTATGTTGTAACCAAAGCAATCGGTGGTCCTTCACTATAGGAATCTGCGACAGTAAAATTTGAGTCTTCTTCAGATGGCACTTCAAACAATTGTTGGGATCCATGAAAAGCAAACACCATAATCACAAATACTAAATCCAATCTCCCCATCATTATCTAAAACAAAGAAAATAGAGCACTTTAGTAAAATGACGCAATTGGTTATTTTATAACCGATTTTCAAAGTTTAAGCAAATTATTAAACACTACTTAAAAATCTCCTCTAAACTGTTCTTGAGCTGGTTGTGTTGAAACTTAAATTAACTCCAGCATAATTATAGTTTGCTTAAGGCTTTAAATTTCTGCTTTTTGCTTTGAATGAACATCAAGCAATTGTTATCAAATTTGCAGTTTGTGTTTCACATACATATAAGTACATAGAGTGTATGAATATAAACCAAAGTAAATATTTGGTTTTGGCTTGGTTTA